CTAGAGATTAGAGTATTGTTCATTGGAGCAAAAAAGCTATATAGAGAATGGTGTTGGAGATGATGCAGTGAAGGTAGACATTTTTTTTAGCCATTAGGGTCAAAGGTTTAGAAGAAGATAGTCTAAATATTTAGGATTTTTTTCTTTTTTCTTCCCCTTCTTTTTGGGGGTAGGGGGAAGGGGATCGAGTAACTTTGGATCAATAAAGCTCTAATACCATATAAGAATTAAAAAATAAATAAAAAGAACAAGAGCGCATACAAATTTAAGTTGATTGAACAATACTATGCCTCTATCCATGGACTATGTGGAGAGAAATTTTAGTTATATTAGAGCTATCAATGGGCTACATATAGAAAATTTTAGTCATATTAGCGCTATCAAGATACTACATATAATTGAAAACAAATTGCAAATACAGAATCAGGTAAGTTTTTCAGTGTTAACTTTTTCTAGTAAACGGATTATATATATATGTACATATATATATATATATATGAATTGTCTCCATTAATCCAGCGCCGTATTAGAGTGACACATTTATATTTTCTTTTAAAAATATGTATATTTCATTTTAAAAACATGTATATTTCCTCTTAAAATATGTATAATGTGGGGAGACATCTATAATTTATATAAACATCTATATACATGTTTTAAGAAAAAATATACATGTTTTAAAGAAAATATACATGTTTTTACAATAAATATATATGTGGCACTCCAATCCGGTACCGGATTGGAGACTTTACTTATATATATGGTCAGATATTTACATGTATACAGATCTAGATCTACACAGTGGCAAACCATAAAATGTGTTGGAGGCGTGATTGAAACCTTTGAACTAAATTAAAATGCAACCATTCTCTTAAAATTTGTTTCTCTTCACATTAGTTTTACTTCTTCTTATTCTTCCAATAATACTTCTTCTTCTTCCTTCTCCTCTTCCAATAATACTAAGCTTTGTAATAGAATTTTAATGAGGTCTATAAGATATTCTGATTTTCAAAGTCGTGGGTTTCTGCTATTTCTTGGGCGCATCGAACTCTGTTTGTCTTTGTTCCTCCCATTAGTCTTGTTTCGAATTGTTCCATCTTAAGGTTGCTATATTTTTACTTATTTCCCCTGGAGGTTGATTTTATTATTATTATTATTATTATTATTATTATTATTATTATTATTATTATAATTATATTTTGAGTAGGAGGTTGATTTTATTATTTGATATCTGTATTTTGCTTTCTTTTTATTTAATAATATCGGATAGACTTGATGTGGCATGGGGTCTTTAGTGAGTGTGGATTTAGTTAGGATGTGCTAGTTTTTCTCTTATGTCAGTTGCTCTCCCTATTCCGTTAAATAAAAAAAAAATAAAAAACTTGTAAGTATTTAATTTAAATTTAAAAGTTTATAGCGCCCCAAAAGTTATACTTTTATAGAGTAGTATAGTTGTTTTTTAGTTTAGTTAGAACTTTAAAGTTTAAAATATGACTATACTTAAATCTTAAAATTTGAGGTACAACTGAAATTTTTATAGAAAGTTCCATGTAAATATTGCTTTTAAAAGATTTTAGGAGAAGAAATTAGTGAAAAATAGAAGGAAAAAAGGAAAGAAAAATTACATAAGGAGCGCTTAAACCCAATTAAGACAGGCCCTAGATGTATATAAAATATATACAACATATTCCATGGCAATCAAATGGATAATAATATACATATATATATATATATATAGATGTGTATGTATGTATAATATTATCATATCAGAAAACCAAGGGCATGTAGACAAGTTTAAGAATGATATCACAAGGTGATATGTTCATCATATCGGTGGTAGTGTTGGTTAGCGTTATGCATTTCCGACTGTGCGCGCGGGGACAAGGAGAAACATATGAGGTTGTCTGGTCAACCGTATATATATATATATATATATATATATATATATATTATGTATATATATATATTATATATGTGTGTATATATGTGTGTGTATATATGACCTCATATATCTTACTTGCATCAGCTTCCTCGTGTGTGTCTGTATATATTTATATGAATATTATATATGGTATATATTGTATAATAATAATGATAAAATTAACCATTACTCATGTGATAACAATTTAACTAACACGGCTACATTAGGAATATTCTAAGACTCAACGATCTTGTTTTTTTCCAAGTAACATTTATGTTATCTAACTTGAGGACTTTTAAGAATGGGAGAAATATTCTACGTATATATTTGATATGCTCAGATTCAGATTAACATCATAATCAACTAATATGTAAAAGTCGGTAAATTAACATTTTTTACATATGATACTCAATGATCGATGAAACTTTAAAAAGAAAAAATCCAGTATCTCGACACAATATTAAAAACGCAATGCAAACAATAACTTTTTTATTGGAGAAGATAGAATTATATCACATAAATAATTATTAGTTGGAGTTATATTTATAATTTTTCATATTAAATGAAAAAAAAAATTAAATCTTTATTTAACAACGTATACATACAAATTAAAATTTATGAATATATTAGTGAGAAGACACGCCCCACTAGACCCTATGTAAGCAATATTTTCCTAATCAGAACCTCTATGGTTTTTTTAAGGAAAAATTTTATTTTTGTACATTTTGTTATATCAAAATTTGAGATAAACCCTCTGTTTTTGAAAATTTCATGCCGTCATTATAAACCTTTTTTATAAGCTCTAGACAAAGTAGTTTCACTAATGCAAAAAAAAATATATATATATATGGCATCAGTTGTTGCCACAACTCAATATCAAACAATAAATTTCTCAGCCATCCCGACCTTTTAGAAAATCTTTTTTTTGTTACCTCGGAGCCATTTTTTGGACAAGAAAAGACAAAATTGCCCTTATTGTAAAAATTTATCTGTTGACTAGAATTTTGAAGGGAAAAAAAGGATTTTAAAAAATAATTTTAAAGAGATGAATTTTTAAAAAAGGATTATGCTCTACAGGCATAACAATTTCTAAAATCTTTTTTTTTCATCAAAATTCTGGTTAACAGATGAATTTTTACAATAAGGGCAATTTTATCTTTTCATGTCCCAAAAATGGCTCTAAGGTACCCAGAAAAGATTTTTTAAAAAGATCGAGATACCGGCATGAAATTTTCAAAAACAGAAGGTACAAAACTCAAAATTTTATATAACAAAGGGTGCTAAAATAAAATTTTCCCTTTTTTTAATACCTCCAACACTGATTAAAATAACTTATTGCACGCGTGTGCCCGCGCGTGTGTATAGTCAGGTTAATTATATATTACTTATTAATCCATTACCATACAGTATTTTTTTTAATCCTGTTATATATATCCCTGTAAGAAATAAATAGAAATGAGTTGTGTTTATCTGATGTATATTGTAGATTGTAGATGAATAAAAAGGGGGTAAAAGAGTTTTAAAAATAAAAGTAAAAGAGAGTTAGCATAGATTTATTTATTTAACCCAAAATAGGAGGGGAGACGAAGGAGACAGTAGCACAAATTTATTTATGCAAGTCTAACCACAGCTAAAAATCAAAGGGGAGATGAAAGAGAGAATTAGTATAAATGTATTTCTTGCACACTTGTTTTTTTTTTTTTTTGGAATTAAAATGTCTGTTATTTGTTCCTAGAACTAAAAGTTCTCCATACTTGCACACTTTTCTTTTGGAATTAAAATGTCTGTTATTCTATTTTAAATGAAAACTCTAAACTAATTTTTATAATAATACAGATTACAATAATAACAAAAGTACCGAGAAGCAATGGAATTTGTTCCTATAACTAAAACGACACTTTCATGTGAAATATAATAGTTAATGCTACGTGATAATTAATTTCAGGAACTACAACCATGATCAGTTAAAAGTAGTCAGCTTAATTTAATGTTACTAAAAACTTGTTTCTTGTCCCTTTTTCTGGCGCCATTGAAAACGTCAGTTATTGAGTTACATATGTTGGAGCTTAATAAAATATTGTTAGACCTTCTGCAGCCAAAATTTAAACCAGCTTAAGTTTGATAATTACTTAAAAGAGGAAAACCTTATTTCAGAGTACAAATAAAAAAAGAATCTGAAGTCTAAATAAAATGTAAAAGAAATGCTAAAAAAAACCTTGGAACTAAAGCCCGTTGATGAATGTGAGTTTATAAAAGGACACGGATAAACGACGGTTAATTCCTTGCTATTGAATTTCCCAACATATTCACTTAACTGCCAAACTAGCGTCTCATCTCAACTTTTCAACAGTACTTCTATTTTGTGTTACCTATCAGTTTTTTTTTTGCTCGAAAAGTGCATTTATTGCTACTTATTTTTGTAACGTATGTATGTTAAAGACTCTCAAAAGAAGCAAAAAAAGGAAGGGTGCTTATTTCCAATCTTAAAACTTTTTTTGTCCAAATCCGATGTTTCATTTATTTTTTTTAGAGTTTTTTTAGTAGAACTAGAAAAAAATAAGCTATATGTAATTTTTTATTTTTAATCATTAAATTTATATAAATATATTTATTTTGTATATTTTTCAATTTAACATAATTTTTATTAAATTTAACGATAAAAAATTGACCAGTACAGTAAAGAGGTCCTAGGGAAAAAAATCTCTTATTTTTTTCCATAGCTACAAAGACATTTCCATATTGATTAAGCATTTCCAAAAATCTATTTCTACCTTTTCCATCTCTCTTATAACTATTTCAGAGGCATAACATGGTAGAAGTATTGGCCTTTTGCCGGTGAACCAATTCTTGTTTTCAAAACGCAACTATCTACGTGTCTAACTCACCTCTTCTTTTGCTAGAAATCGCCCACTTGTAAATTTTCTTTTTTTTTTTCTATCTTTTTTTTGAATTGTACCTGTACTCTTAAGTTTCCTATAAATACACATACACATCTACTCTCGCATACCAAACATACACATCTACTCTCTCTCTCTCTCTCTCTCTCTCTCTCTCTCTCTCTCTCTCTCTCTCTCTCGCCATGCAAGTCTCTTCACAATTCACAAATACCACCCCACAAAGCTTCACTAAAATTCACCCCAATTTGAAAAGCTCCACCTTGTTTTCATTAATCACATGCAAAATTCTCATCAACCCTTCCAAAACCAAAACTCTGCCCCGGAAACCCCACAAAACGCCGTCGTTTCCAGGGCCGTTAGAGATCACCAAACCATTGCGTCAACCAACCCCAGAACTCGAACCGGTCGAACCCAACTCTCCATTAACTTACCTGAACCCGGTCCAGAGATTAGCAGCATCGGTTCTCGACACCGTAGAAATCTCATTAATTGGGCCGTTAGAGAGAGCCCATAAGTTTCCAAAAACTGTAGACCCGGCGGTTCAGTTGTCGGGAAACTTCGCTCCGGTTCAGGAGTGTCCGGTTCAGCACCGTCTAGAAGTTGTGGGCGAAATCCCGGCTTGCTTACGTGGCGTCTACCTCAGAAACGGCGCGAATCCCCTCCACGCGCCCTCAGGTGGCCACCACTTGTTCGACGGCGACGGTATGATACACGCCGTGATGCTGGACAACTCCCCCAGTCGCGCAAGCTATTGCTGTAGGTACACGCGCACGAGCCGGCTCGAGCAAGAATCTCGGGTGGGGCGCGCGGTGTTCCCCAAGCCGATCGGGGAGCTCCATGGGCACTCAGGCCTGGCTCGGCTAGCGTTGTTCTTCGCTCGAGCCGGGATCGGCTTGATCGACGCGGCGCGTGGCACCGGCGTGGCCAATGCTGGGCTCGTCTACTTCAACGGCCGGTTGTTGGCCATGTCCGAGGATGATCTTCCGTACCATGTGAAGATCAACGGTGACGGAGATCTCGAGACAATCGGACGGTTTAATTTCGATGGTCAACTTAATTGTCCCGTGATTGCACATCCTAAGGTGGACCCGGTGACGGGTGACCTACACGCGCTGAGCTACGACGTGTTGAAACGGCCGTACCTGAAGTACTTCAGGTATGACAAGTGCGGCAAAAAGACACGTGACTTGGGAATCGCGCTGGGGCAACCTACGATGATTCATGACTTCGCCATAACGAGGAATCACGTAATTGTTCCGGACCACCAAGTGGTATTCAAGTTATCCGGGATGATTCGGGGCGGGTCGCCTGTGGTTTACGACCGTAGCAAGCAGCCGCGGTTCGGAATTTTGTCAAAAAACGACGTCGGTTCATCCGCGATCAGGTGGGTTGACGTCGAGGATTGCTTTTGCTTCCACTTGTGGAATGCGTGGGAGGAGGATTCCGCCAATGGTGATGAGATCATTGTTGTGATCGGGTCGTGCATGAGTCCCGCGGATTCGATTTTTGCTGATTACGAAAAGGACCCGCTTCGGAGTGAATTAACCGAGATTCGGATAAACCCGAGGACCCGGAAGTCGACCCGACGGGTCATTTTGCCGGGTGTAAATTTGGAAGGAGGGCAAGTAAATAGGAGGCTTTTAGGGCAGAAGACAAGGTACGTGTACTTGGCAATAGCGGAACCGTGGCCGAGGTGTTCCGGCATTGCCAAGGTGGACTTTGAAACCGGTCGGGTTGAGAAATATTTGTACCGGACCGGTCGGTACGGGGGTGAGCCATTTTACGTGCCGGGAAAGATAGAAAATATTGTGGTAAATGAAGATGATCAAGGTTATGATGATGATGATGATGGATACTTGGTGGGGTTTGTGACGGATGAAGTGGAGGAGAAATCAGAATTGGTGGTTGTGAAAGCTTCAAGCATGAAACAAGTTGCTTCAGTGAAGTTACCAGCTAGAGTTCCTTATGGGTTTCATGGAACATTTGTAAGTGCGCAGGATTTAAAGCGACAAGTTTTGAGCTAGGCTTCCATTGGTTTGGCCATACTTCCATAAATTATTATACATATATACATATAGTAATAAAGAGATATGTAATAATGTATATATAAGGTTATTACATATGTTTGTGTTGTGCTAGCTGTTACAATTGATTTAATAAGGAAATTTTGTTGCTGTCCTTTATGCTTGATTTTAAGCCACTACAAAAAAACTTGACATTTAACGTTTAACGACTCCTATAAGATGACTGTCGTCTAATGTGCACTTAAAAACATGACCTCCAAACGGGCAGGTTTAGACGACGATTTTTATAAAAACCATGGTCTAATGTTCACATATATAATGACGGTTTCTACGGAAACCGTTGTCTAAATTTGTTTTCAACCCCTGTTGAATTTTCATTTCGCAAAAATTCACTCAAAAATCAAAACGCCAGTCCATTCCGTCAATCTCTCTGCCCAGACTGCACTGCTAGCCCAAATAGTGTCATTCTTCCTTCCGTTCGCCGCTGACTGCCACCGTCTTGTCCACAAATCCGCGAAGAACCTCAAGTAAATTTAATTAATCTTCTCCTTTTTATATAAATTTGAGTAATATGAATGTTGGATTTATGTTTTTTGGTAAAATTTGTTAGGTTGATGATGAAATTAACTTAAGTTTTGTGGTTTTGAGTATTATGGATGTTGGGTTTTTGTTGTTTATCTTGAATTTGTTAGGTAGATGATGGAATTTGTTTAGGTTTTATGGTTTTGAGTTTTATGGATGTTGAGTTTTTGTTGTTTGTCTTCAATTTGTTTGATAGATGATTTTGAATTTGTTTGGTAGATGATGAAATTTGTTTAGGTTTTGTAGTCTTGAGTTTTATGGATGTTGGCTTTTTATTGTTTGTCTTGAATTTGTTTAAGTTTTATGGTTTTGAGTATTATTGATGTTGGGTGTTTGTTGTGTGATAAAATTTGTTGATGTTGATGATGAAACTAATTTAGGTTTTGAGACATGCAGTAATATGGGTGTTGGGTTTTGTTGTGTGTCTTGAATTCGGTATGTAGATGATGAAATTTGTTTAGGTTTTATGATTTTGAGTAATATATGGATCTTGTGTCTTTGATGTTTGTCTTGCTTTGTTAGAAATGGACTATAATTTATGTGTTTGTGTAAGTGAGATATTTATTGTTTGGTTTTGTTGTGTAGCCATGGATAGAAAATGAATGTTTACAAATAGGTTGAGTAATGAATATGAGAAAGGGGTTGAAGAATTTATTTCCTTTGCAAAGAATATAATTGATGCAAGATCTTAGATTCCATTTGTTCTGATATGGCATTGATTGTACTTATCAAACATGGATATGGCACGGTGAAGAGGTTCCAAATTCATCTTCAGCGGTTAGGGGAACGGAAAGGAATGACGTTGATATTGATCATGAAGATGATGGAAGTAACTGTTGGGAATGGTGTCCTAGAAGCTTGAGATGTAATAGGATATTTATTATTTTTGTAATAAAAGAGTTTATTCATTATTTTATGTGCATATATTTATGAACATTTTATGAATATCAATGAAAATTCCATGATTATTTATGTGACCTCAAACATTGTATATAAGTGTTATATGAGAGAGGATAATGTTTAAGGATAATAATCAAAATGATGTTCGTAATGAATTTAATTAAAGCTCAGAATCTTTAATTAAAACATTATTAATACATGTCATTCCCATTTAGAATGGAATAGTGCTATCTGCACTATTTGTTAGTTTTTGAAACATTTTCGAGTGCGGAAGCGTGGTAGTGCGGATCGTGTATAATAAAAAATTTTCACAAAACCTTTTGAATACGCTATAGATTATATTAATTTATGTAATAATAAATTAATTTTATTAATTAATTGTTGAGAAAGGTGTCCTTAAGCATGAGATGTAATATTTAATTAACAAAAATAGTTTATTCATTATTTATGTGTATGTATTATTGATTATTGTATGAATATCATTGAAAATTCTTCGATTATTTATGTAACCTTAAATATTGTCTATAAGTATTATATACGAGAAGATAATATCTAAGGATAATAATTGAAACGATGTTTGTACTGAATTTAATTAAAGTTTTAGAATTATTAATTAAAACATTACTAATACATGTCATTCTAATTAAGAATGGAATGGTGTTATCCGCATCATCAATATAGAGGGATATTGAATGAGTGTATTATGCATAATGAGATTATGTAGAACTAGGACACAAACACAATTTGATTTTCTGATAATTTCTGTTAAATATGAAAAATCAAATTTGAGTCTACCGATTGTCATATATAGAATGATCTTAATTGTGAGTTGTTAGTAGACTCCTATTTATGGATTCGTGTTCTTTGATTTACTCAATACGGATTTCGATATCCTAAATCATATTCCTTGTATCTTGGGAACATGATAAAATGGATAGCCGAGAATGCTAATATACAAGATGGAATCCATTCCTTCTTCTTTGAAGAAGCAGATAAATAATTCCCTTGAGAGTTGATTCGGTACTTTGAATAAGTAACGAGCTCGTTTTCGTGAATGTGTTTTATGAATACACTATTCATTAGAGAATCAATGCTAGCTCTAATTATGAATTATTTATGGATGAGAGATCTATATGTAGTGACTATATCAAATGGACACTTCAAGTTCTTAGAAGTAAAGAAAGTCTATAAATTCGATAGTGCAATTCTAAGTTTTTAGTGGAGTAACTTTTAGAATTAATAGAATTAATTAAATATTAATTTTATTGTAGCTCAAAATTATAGGTCCATAAGTCCCCCTGTCATCCTTGTATTATTTGCAAGACAAGATGAATTATCGGGATTTTTTTCACTCACGAATAATTAATTGAGAATTATTTATATATTAAATAATTGATTATTTAATTATTTTGTCACACATTGTGGTAGGACCACAGAGGGCATGTGACACTGAGAAAAATCCCACTGGGATTTAGTTACTTGCTTTTCAAGTAATTCAGTTTACTTGTTCGGCAAGTTTTCCAATTAAATTCAAAAAGGAAACTAAGATGATACTTTATTTGGAATTGAATTTAAACAAAAATTGGAAACTGGATTAGGAAGGAATTTTTTCCTTCCTTCTTAAGAGATGGTTGGCCACCTTATAGCAGAAAGGGAAGGAATTTTTTCTTTCTAAAAGCAAAAGGGAAACTGTATTTTTAATGAGATTAAAAATATAGTAGTTACCAATTTCCTATTTTCTTTGCCTACAAGCAAAAGGGTTCTCCTAATTGTCTATAAATTGGAGACAATAGGAATACTCCTTGATATCGCAAGACGATGAGTGTGGGCTCAACATATAAACTATCAGAATAATCACTCACTAATTTAGTATTCTTTCACTATCAACGCATGTATGTGAAAGAATTGGGAAAATTGGAAGAACTTTTATTCTCTTTTTTCACTCTATGAATTTTCGGCCACCTTAGGTAAATTGGAGAGCAAAAAAACTTTTCACCAATTCCTATTGTTCCTATTTATAGAACATTAGGAGAACCCCTTTTGCTTGTAGACAAAGCAATAGGAAATTGGTTGTTACTATATTTTTAATCTCATTAAAAATACAATTTCCTTTTAATTTTTGAAACAAACTTTCCTTCCCATTAGCTATAGGGGGCCGACCAACCACAGGGGAATCTCCCTGTGGTTGGCGCACATCACATGCAGAGGAGAGAGAAAATTCATGCTTTCTCCAATTTCTAATTTTATCTCAAATTCAATTCCAAATAAAGTCACACTTTACTTTCCCTTTTGAATTTAATTGAAAAAACTTGTCGAACAAGTAAACTAGATTACTTGGAGAACAAGCAACTAAATCCCAGTGCTATTTTTTTCTGTGTTACACGCCCCCTATGGTCCCACCACAGTGTATGACAAAATAATTAAATAATCACGTTATTTAATATATAATTAATTCTTAATTAATTATTCACGAGTGAAACAAAATCCCGATAATACATCTTGTCTTGTAAATAATACATGGATGATGCGGGGACTCACGGACCTATAATTCTGAACTCCAATAAAATTAATAGTTAATTAAACTTGGAATTGCACTCTCAAAATTATAGACATAACTTACTTCTAAGAACTTAAAGTGTCAATTCAATATAGTCACTACATATATATTGCTCCTCCATAAATAATTCATAATTAGAACTAGGTAAAACCGCTAACCTCTCTAATTACATCTTTATCCTTGAGTACCATTGATTCTCTAATGAATCATATATTCATAAAACACATTCATGAATACAAGCTCGTTACTTATTCAAGTATCAAATCAACCCTCAAGTGAATTATTTATCTGCTTCTTCAAAGAAGAAGGAATGGATTCCATCATGTATATTAGCATTTCAGGCTATCTATTTCATCATGTTTCCAATATACAAGGAATAGGATTTAGGATCTCGAAATCCGTATTGAGTAAGTAAAAAAAACACGAATCCACAAATAAGAGTCTACTAACAACTCAGGATTAAGATCATTCTATATATAACCATCGGTAGACTCAAATTTGATTTTCTATATTTAACAAAAATTATCAGAAAATCAAATTGTGTCTGTCTCCCAACTCTACATAATCTCATTATGCATAATACACTCATTCAATATCACTCTATATTAATAATGCGGATAACACCATTCCATTCTTAATGGAAATGACATGTATTATGTTGGGAATGGTGTCCTAGAAGCATGAGATGTAATAGGATATTTATTATGTATTTAATAAAAGAGTTTATTCATCATTTTCTATGTATATATTTGTGAATATTTTATGAATATCAAATGAAAATTCCATGATTATTTATGTGACATTAAACATTGTATATAAGTGTTATATGCGAGAGGATAATGTTTAAGGATAATAATAAAAAATGATGTTCGTAATGAATTTAATTAAAGTTCAAAATCTTTAATTAAAACATTACTAATACATATCATTCCCATTTAGAATGAAACAGTGTTATCCGCAC